GTTTTTTTTTAACAAAGCACACGTTTTGTGGAAGTGGAAAAGGAAAAACGCAGTTTTTCACATTCTGCCAAGGTTTGATCAAAGCTCCGATCCCGCTTCGTCCGTGGTCCGATCGAGTTGAATTTTGGAGGAGAGGTTCACGACTCAGTGACGCACAATCTGAACGGTGTAGATCAGAGTTTGACCTCAGGAACAGTGATTCGTACTCGTGAACAGTAACTGGGTCGCACAGGTTTTTTTCCATTCTGCCCAGATTTCATCAAACATCCGATCCAGCTTTGTCCGTGGTCCGATCGAGCTGAATTTTGGAGGAGAGGTTCATGACTCAGTGATGCACAATCTGAACGGTGGAGATTAGAGTTTGACCTCAGGAACAGTGATTCGTACTCATGAACAGTAACTGGGTCGCACAGGTTTTTTCCATTCTGCCCAGATTTCATCAAACATCCGATCCTGCTTCGTCCATGGTCCGATCGAGCTGAAATTTGGAGGATAGGTTCATGACTCAGTGTCGCACAATCTGAACGGTGGAGATCAGATTTTGAGTTCGGGAATAGTGTTTCGTACCCGTGAACAGTAACCGGGTTTTGGAACTCGCCGGGATTTTTTAAGAAGACGACGTTGAAACTTTGAACAAAAGTTTCTGAGGCAAAATTCTATCCTTACTCTTTCCCTTAGGCTTTATACTCTTTGCACTCTTAAATGATTCCGGGATTAATGAAGATTAAACCAAACTAAAATGATATCTGTTTTGCTATGAAACTGGTAGTTACAGTAGTGTTGTATGCTTGTTCAACCTAGACTAAGCATGTTTGTGGATGCATTGTGGTTCTGTGGTTCACGTTTTTCCTTACCACTGCTAGTATAAATTATTGGAAGGATGGGTCTAGATGATAGCTATCTTAACTTCTGTAATAGCAACTGTTGGAACTTAAATATTAGGAGGATTTGAGTTTAACACTAGATCAGTTTTGTGGAACACTATAATTTGAGCATGTCTACATACATACTGTGAATATTGTTTTGATGCTTACATTATCATAGTTAGTATCAACTGTGGAGGTTAGGATTTTGTGATAGATACCCTACATATCTGTATGTCATTTGTAAGGTGTTAAATGGAAGTTTTAATTAATTCTGTCTTTATATCAGACTAAAGGGAACAACTTAAATTGGGCATGTATATGTTGTTGTTGTGACTCTGTTTATCAATGCTTATTTTATCACTGCTAACATTGAATGTTGGATGTTGGAATTTAGTTGATATATACTTGATTTATTGGTATTATTGACTACTGGAGGATTGGAAAGTATGCACCGATATGGGACGGTGGCATACTAAGGATGGGTTTGGTTTTTAAAACAATACCATTACCCACCTACTTGGAATAAGGATGGGATTAACTAAAAGTTAAGTCCCGTGGATTTGTATTGTCATGGCAACTACTTGTTGAGCGGCAATACCAGGGATTTTGGATGGATTTTATATATGTACTGTTATGGTGCCTCGGTATGAGCTTGAGCCTCAGGACCGATGGCTAGGGAGCGTATATGCATCGAGATGTGTAGTTGGCTACGATGGTTGGAGGTGTACTCTGTTTAGGTATAGGTACATATGCCCACTTCGTGTACGTTTTAGCATGTTACCTCTATTCAGGTTGAGACCGGCCTGTAGTCCAGTGAGAGTCCTTTAGTGTGACTATATATATATTTACGGACTATTAGCTATTGTTGAATTGTTTAGGATGTACATGCGTATCGGGCCTCTGTTTGGATTGTAGTAGTATAGAACTTGCGCGTGGGCCTGACCCACTTCTATTTTTCAGGTACACGACAGTTCCAGGCTTAGACGTGTTCGTGCTGAGCAGAGGTCTCTATTCACTCTTCCGACGATGTAGGGCTCTCTCTATAGTTTTATTTCTGGACGTTTATTACAGTTGTTCTATCTTCCGTTTGGATGTGTAATAGGGGTCCACTAGAGATGGATTCCCAAGTTGTACACTGATGGAGTTTTGGAGTTTGGGTTTGATGGATTTTAATAATTATAATATTTTGCGGATTCTATTTTTAGTTCCTTCCAGCTTTAATTTCATTTCTTAATTTATTTTGTATTCCGTGTTCATTATAAAATATTAATTGTTTAATATTCCCTCGGGTTTGGGCCTGGGCCTGATCAACCCGTGTCTCGGATCCGAGGGGTATCACAAGAAGGTTCTGGACAGTGCTATTTGGCTTGATGGGTTCTGAACTGAAGTTCTCCATAGCAAACCATCCTCAAATTGACGGGCAGACTGGGAGGATGAATTAGTTATTGGAAGAGTACCTGAGGCACTATTTCACTGCAAGTTAGAAAAATTGGCTGGAGTTGTTAGACACTGCATAGTTTTCTTATAACTTGCACAGGTCTTCAGCAACATGAATGAGTCCCTTTGAGTTGGCAACAGGGCAACAACCTCGCACCCCACAGGAGGTGGCAGTGCAGAGGACTAGTGGAAGATGCCCTGCAACATACTGATATACCCGTTCTATGCAAAAGATGGTGGAAGAGGCACAGGACAGCCTTGCCAAGGCTGCTAGAAGGATGAAAAAGTATGCAGATAAAGAGAGTAGGCCATTAGAGTTCCAAGTGGGAGACAAGGTTCTGTTAAAGTTGACTCCATAGATTTGGAAGAAGATAAGTAGCAAGACTGTTCACAAAGGCCTAGTTCAGAAGTATGATGGTCCTTTTGAAGTTGTGAAGAAAGTTGGGAATGTTGCTTACAGATTACAATTACTTGACCGATTGAAGTTCCATCTTACTTTTCATATGAGTTTCCTCAAGCCTTTTCATGAGGACACTGCAGACACATCAAGACATCAGGCTAAGAGAGCCCCACCTGTTATTCGATTGCAGTTTAACAAGGAGGTGGAGAAGATTTTGTCTCACCGAACCCAGGGTTAGAGTAAGAAAAATCGTAGAACTGATTACTTGGTATAGTGGAAAGGATACCGTAAAACAGAGACAAGTTGGGAAACTAATGTGCCATTATGGCAGTTTGAGAAACAGATTAAGGAGTACTTGGACAAGTCGACGAGGGCGTCGACTTCTTCTGGTGGGGGTGGTTTGTTAGCCCCTTGACATTTGTCCAAGGGAAGACATAGGCATTCAGGGCCATGCCATGTCTTGAGAACACCTCGGCTCTGGTTAAATAGCCACGAGGATGCTCAATGGGCTGTCAGCGTGCATAAGATGCTCAGCGTGCACACAAGATGCTCAGAACGATGTTCAGCGTGCACTAGGGGGAGCCCAGTGGCATTTTCATAAATATGGCAAAAAATGAAGTTTGGGGTTTTGGTTTAGCAACTTTATTGGAGGTACCTTGAGTCCATAGAAGATGGTGGATGCAGACGGCACTCGATTTGGATGTTGGGAAGGGCCTGAAAAGCCATTATGACTCCTCAAACACATGTGATGTTTACTATTGTCAGAGTGCTGATTTCCCTAAGGAATAGAGGGGTCGGTTGGTGCACATCGGTTGGGCTATGGTATAGACTGCTTAGAGGGCTTAGCCAACGTGCATGGGCACGTGTTGCACTACTCCAAGGTGGTTGCACAAGAGGGGAACACCCAAAACTATCGAAGGCATGTGTACAGTGGCGCGCGTGCGGGCTTACAGATGTGCGCGCGCACAAAGGGGCATCAGCACGCGCGCACGGGCGTGCATAGCTTGGCACACCGTGCACTCAGAGACATTTATATGTGGGTTCAGACTTGTGGGCTTAACTAGATGTGGCTCGTGGACCATGGCTAAGGCTAAGGCACCCACATATCACTTGGTAGGCAGCAGGTGTGCTTATCAAGGATGATTCAATTAAGGAGGAGACATGGGGAGCAGTTGAGATATGTTGTGTGGCTTATATTCAGTTGTCTCATATATGTCTTGTGGCTTATGCTCGGTTGTAATAGGTTATACAGATATGGTGTATTGCTTATAGCGGTTATTGGGCAGTTCCTAGCAGTTGGGGATTGTCCAACTGAGTATGTCAGACATAGATAAACGGTTGAGGGAGGAAACTGCTATGCTGAGTTGGACGAGATTGATTGGGTCAGTTGCCTAGAAGGTTGAAAATGTCAACCTTATTTGTATGTAGATACATACAGCCAGTTATGGCCAGTTTTCTAGAGGGCCTATATATTGGGATGCAAGGGGCATGGTTTAGGCAGAGAGTGAAACACAGAGTGTGTATTCATAGCCTTGGTTCCTTGTACGAGTTTGTGCTCCTTTGTAGTATGTTTAATATGAGCAAAGGTTGGAGCTTGTCCCTGTAAATTGTGTGTGCCTTCTTTATATTCCTATATTGTGTGTGTTGTGTTGTGCGTTGGCCGAGACTTGGTGGCCCCAAGTGCAATTACAAAGGCAAAAATTTGTGGCGTGATTTGACCCTGTAACACTTTCCAACATTAACCACAGAATTAGAAAGAAAATAATAGAGAAAATTTAAATCAAGAAAGAATTAAAAAGTTTAGCAAAATTAAGAGTTTTTTCTTTGGGAATCTCATTCTTCAATACTTTAAAAAAAAAAAAAAAAAATCTCATAATCAAAGCATCAAAGCATATTACAAAATATTTGGGGATTCATATTTGAAGGTATCAAATTGTAATCACTTGTTGGATATAGTGTGATAACCCAGTGGTAGGGCATGTGTACCTTGTGGCCAAAGTTCATGTTCGAATTCCTACTCCATTAGTTAGTTAATTTAACTTCCAAACCCACAAAAATAAAAAATAAAAAAAATAAAAAACCAACAACAACAACGGTAATCAGTTGTTGAATTCATTGGAAAACAGTAGGATAGAATCATACATTGATATAGACGAAAGAAGAGAACATTAATTTGGTTTATAAAGATCTCATAAAATTGTGACTCAACCGGTATAAACCCCAATGAAAAAGGATGTAACGGTAATTTACCCAAATATTTTGTTCACGGGAAACACGAAAAGAAGTAAGTGACACTGCGGTCTTCCTTTTCTCTCTAAAAAAAAGAAAAACAAAAAATTGAGAATGGATTTAGAGACTGTGAAGAGGTATCTGGAAAAAGGAGAAGGCGAAAACGCATCGAAAATCGATGAAATGCCTCGAAGATTCTTCGAGCCCTTCGTACTTGAAGGGCTACGTGTCGATCTCATCGAACCTGGACGGATCATCTGCTCCATGAATGTGCCTCAACGTTTACTGGTTGGTACATCATGACCCCATTACCAACCATCTCTCTCTCTCTCTAACTGACTTGATTGGGTACCCTGTTGCTCTTGTTTTATCAAAACTGAAGAACAGTGGCAATTTTTTGCACGGTGGGGCCACGGCAACTCTGGTGGATTTGGTGGGTTCGGCTGTTATTTACACTGTTGGAGCTCCGTTGACCGGCGTTTCTGTGGAGATCAACGTCTCTTACTTGGATGCTGCTTATGCTGATGTGGGTATCTTACATCTATTCTCTTTCTACATATTTCCCCTAATATTCCTAATTTTTTTTATCTTCAATTCAATTTTGAGTATTTAAAACCGGTTTCTGCTCAACTGCTAATATTTAAATTTTATAAATATATGTTTATGTACACATGTATTATATATATATATATATATATATATATATATATATTTTTTTTTTTTTTTCTTTCGTGTCTACTGTGTTTGTATGTTGGAATGTGCGTTTAGGTTTAATGCACGCCGGCCTGCCACATGATCACCATATTGCCACAATTCAAGTTGATCGGTTTAGAAGCAGTGCAAGTGTGCTAATGTTGCAAAGATAGTAAAAAGCTTATATTGTTGCTGGTGTTGAGTTTGTTAATATCCCATCTTCAGAGTTTGATTGAAAAACCCTCTTACAAACGTATGTGTAAATTGTGATGGGAGATCAATTTTGTTGGTAATTTTAAGGATGGTTGGCAACATTGATGCTACATAACACATTTTCATGAATTTAGATGGTTATTCTTATTCCATGGGAAGTGAAATTCAAATAAAAGAGGAGGAAAATTTCAATTAAAGTATAATTTGTGTTGTTGTAGCTGGTGACATTGAGCTATATTTCAATGGCTTCAACCACCTTAAATGACATTATTCTAGATGAGGAAGAATTTAATTCTTGTTTTTGATTTTAAAGTTTTTCAGAATACTGGAAACATATTGATATTGTGTTCCCAAGAGATTTAATTTGTTCAATTCACTTAAATTTAGTATTGTTGAATCTGAACGGTGTGAGTTAGTGGTAAAAGTTGCCCGAGGCGAACCTTTCATCATATAGGAAGAATAATATCTTGCTGGATCACATTCACCTTGATTTGTGTGTCATATGGCGGTTTGGGTAATAGTGGGAAGGGCTACTTTGTATTAATTATTAGTTGTTGATTAATTTATTGTGCTTTATTTGAATTAGCTTCATCCATCATTATTCTAGTAAGATGGTGTTGTTGAAAGCAAATATATTATTAAACTTGCTTGATGCTTTAGTTTAGTTTCCTACTACCTAAATTGATGCCTTTAGGACTTTAATTGACAATTCAAAATCAAATTAGTTCGAACATCGCATAGTAAGAATCCTTTTGTTAGATGTCCAATAATTTGAGGCTGTTTTGTTGATTTTGGACTTAGAAACATAAATGATAACACAAAGAAATAGGTGTTAAAAATCTGCATATAAACAGAATGCCTTCAGTTGAGCATTTTGGTAAGGACACTAAGAAGTACATATACTTCTATAAGGGGGACGAATCAATATTTTATCCATATTGGATACTGTTACTGCATGGATACACATGGATACGCGTATAATATTTTCCTAAATGTATCCATAGTTTGAACATGTATTACTTCTCAGATATTTCAAGACACATGTTAAACAAGTCTTGAAGAAGTATGGCATCAGAGAGTTATTGTCACTTTGAATATCTTCAAAAAAGAAGAATTGAGGATATAATGAGAATATTTCATTTTTACTTCAATCCAATGTTTATGCCCATGCAATGTAACTTTTAGCTTGTTTGCTAGTACTTTTTCTGTGAGCGAATGTTAAATATGTATATAATATGACAAACAATTATTATTTTAAGTTTATATCTATCTATAGTTCAAAAATATATTTTTTTTATTTTGAACTTGTATCTAATGTTTCTTAGATATTCCCAGAAACTGTTACTTCTCAAATATTTCAAGACATATGTTTTAACGAGTCTTGACAGGTATAATATCGGAGTGTTATTGTTTAAAGAAGTATAAAAAGGGTTCTAATACTTGGAATTTTTGCGAAAATAGAATAATTGAGGACATAATGTCTAATTCAGTCCAAAGTTTATGCTCATGCCCATGCAATGTGACTTTTAGCTTGTATGCTATAATTTTTCTATAAGCGAATGTTGGATAGCAATATATGTATATATCATGACTTAACAACTTTTATTTTAAATTTATATAAAGGTGCATAAAAATTTTCATTTTTATACTTATCTACAGAAATATGATATGTATACCTATATATTGTTGTGTCCTTTCATTTTCATGTCCATGTTCATATATTGTATTCATGTCCATACGTCATAGGTAGAAAAAAATGAAAATAAAGATAATTCATATGGTCGACTTAAATTCATTTGGGATAAAAACAAAGATGACGATGATGATTATAGGATTCTGACTCTCTCTTTCTCTCGCTCTCGCTCTCGCTTGCTCTCGCTCTTGCTTGCTCTCTTTTTGTATCTGTACTAAGAATTGCATAATTTCGAGGATGCAACTATATGTTTTCCAAGACGGACGTGCTACTTTTGTAGAAGTTTCCATCCTTCATAGCTCATCCTTTTTCACAATTGTTATGTTGTACTCCTGGCAATGTGAAACCTGTGATCATCCATGTTCGCACTCCACACCAATTTAGATTTGTGTAAAAAATATTTTCCTAGAATAGCTAGTGTTTCACCACTTAATTATATATCATCTTGAGTAGTTGTATACACTCTCTTTAATATTATATTGTACATGGTTTTTAGCAAACACCCACTCTATTTTCCTTTTTCGGTAAGAATTTTATCCGAGGAAGAAAAAATTGAGATCTTAATAATATAAAGCAGCTAAGAAAGGTGTACCATCTTTAGCTAAAACGGCCCCCCCCGGCCGCCGGGGGGGGGGGGGGGGGGGGGGGGGGGGGCTGCTGGGGGAAGAGTAAAAACAAAGCACAACACGAGGATAGCCCCAAAGCTTAGAGTTAGTCAGTTTGGGGGAAGATAACAATTATAACTACTGCAATAAATAAATACCTTTTTCATTGTGATTGTAACCCTTTTTTATCCCCTTTTCCTTTTGGTTGGTAACATCGTGTAGAGTTGTTTTCTTTATATTTCTCTCCTATTCTCTGCATGCATAGAAATTGTAAAAAGAAGCAAATGTTTTTTTGCATCTCATCCCATCAGTTTAGTATCCAACTGGGTTAGGGGGTGGGGAAATGGGATGGGTTATGGGGCACCCCCATGATATAGTGCCATTGCAATACTTAGTGTTACTCACAGGGGCCTATTACACCCTTTAAAATGGAAAAGAAAAAGTATTTTTCTAGTAAAGAAAGTGGGAAAAAAAACCATTTGATCTTGCTATCTCTCTCACGTACTCCTGCTAGGGTACTCTAACTTAAGTAGTTTTCACTTAGGTTTCAAGTGTAAGAAATAGGGAAAAATGAAGTATTTCAAAGGTTTAAGGGGAATAAGATGTGAGAGATAAGAGAAGGTAAGATGGAGAAAAAAAGGAGATCTGAGAAAAGAGAAAAGAGTTCAAGATGAAGAAGAGAAGTTTCAAGTGTAAGAAATAGGGAAAAAAGAAGTATTTCGAAGGTTTAAGGGGAATAAGATTTGAAGATAAGAGTAGGTAAGATAGAGAAAAAAGGAGATTTGAGAAAAGAGAAAAGAGTTCAAGATGAAGAGAAGAGAGACAATATAAAAGCAAATGAGAGAGATAGAGAGAGAGAGAGAGAGAAGGGGGGATGTTACAACTCCATTCCCCCTGATCTAGGGGATTAAGGTGTGAAATAGATAGCTCATCACGTTTCAAACTCAATTTCCCACTCATCAATTACTTTCATTCACATACAAAAAGTTTATTTACAAAATTTTCATGGAAGTCTCCTTAAATTATAAAATTTGGACGCAAACCTCAATTGATACATAAAAATTCTGTGTATAGCACGCCGTCCAGGATGTACCAATCTTAAAAATGTGTAACTTTTCCATCCTTGGTTCCTCTCTGACTGGGAGCAATCATGTCTTTGTACATTTTCGTCCGTAAAGGAAAAAGAGTTGGGAACTATTACGAGTGCCAATAGGAAACACTCACTAAAAAAATCCATGGAATAATTAGGATAGCTTCAAATAGTAGTTAATAACTTACAAAAGAAGAAGTTTTGGGTTTTGGCTAACTCAAACCCAGAGCCAAGTATCATATTTATATACAAGAATATGGTACAAAGAAAGGAAACCAAATCAAAGAAAAATAGAAAATATGCCAAAATCTACGTGATCCCATGATTATGGGAATCTTATTTACGTGATCCAATGATTACGGAGATCTTATCCACATGATCCCATGATATTAGGGATTTTACATAAAACACCTAATAAAAATAAAAATAAAAATAAAAATAATATAGATATTTCAACACTCTTCCTCAAGCTGGAGTGAAGATATCAATCAAGCCCTTGGTAATCGAGGAATGAAGCAAAGATGGACCAACGGATTTGGTGAACACATTTGCCGACTGATTAGCGGACCGAACAAAGCATGACTTGATAATTCCTAAATGAACCTTCTCTCTGATAAAATGAATGTCCACCTCTATATGTTTAGTCCTGTTTAGTCCTCTCATGAAGAACAGAATTTGAAACAAGCATGATGGCCGACTTATTATGACAAAACAAGTGTGAGGACTGTTTTTCACTTAGCCCTAGCTCCTCCAAGAAAGATCGAAGCCAAAGAATCTCACAAGCACCTTTGGCCATGGCACGATACTCAACCTCTGCTGAAGATCTCGAAACTACAGGTTGTTTCTTACTTTTCCATTATATAAGATGATCTCCATAGAAAGTACATAAACTAGATGTGGAACGTCTGTCAGTCTTGGACCTAACATAGTCTATATCACTGAAACAAGATATACTAACTTGCCTGCTAGAATAATAGAACAATCCAAGTCCAGGACATAACTTAAGATATCGAAGAATATGATATACCGCATCGTTGTACAAGGAGCATGCATAAATTGACTCACACTAACCACAAAAGCCAAATTAGGACGGGTGTTGGTAAGATAAATCAATTTTCCTACCAAGCGCTGTAATTGCGAGGGACCAGAAAGAAGATCTCCAGACTCGGTCGAGATCTTCAGATTAGTATCCATAGGAGTGGAAGTAGGTTTACACCCAAGCATACCCGTGTCTTGAAGAAGATCTAAGACATACTTCCTTTGCGATAAAGAGATACCCTACTTAGATCTAGCAACCTTTCCTAAGAAATATCTGAGCTGCTCAAGGTCTTTCACATCAAAAGCTTTAGCCAATTGAAGCTTTACTTGAGCAATCCCAGGGATGTCAGTAATGATGATATCATCAACATAGACAAGAAGAATGATATATCAACAGTGGAGGAACGGTGGATAAAATATGTATGGTCAAAATGGCATCTAACAAACTCCATGGATAGAATTACATCACTGAAGTGGCTGAACCAAGCTCTAGGAGATTGTTTTAACCGATACAAAGACTTCCGCAATCGACAAACCTTTCCAGCATACTCAGCCCGAAAACCGGGTGGAGGATCTATATAAATAGTCTAAAAAAGATCACCGTTATGGAAAGCATTCTTCACATCAAGTTGATGAAGAGGCCAATTGTGAGAGGCAGCCATGAAGACAAGGAAACGAACTGAGGTCAATTTAGCCACTGGAGCGAAGGTATCATTAAAGTCTTTACCAGGAATCTGAGTAAACCCTTTGGCCACCAAATTGGCCTTATACCGATCAATAGAGTCATCGGCTAGATATTTAACACTAAATACCCATTTCCAACCAACAATCTTTTCACCAGGAGGGAGAGATACAAGCTCCCATGTTTCATTTTACTGCAAAGCATCCATTTCTACCATCATAGCAGTCATCCAATTAGAATTCCAGAGAGCCTCAGACACATTTTTGGGAATAGAAATGGAATCAAGTTTGTCTAGAAAGGCTCGGTAAGACCCTGAAAGACCATCATAGGAGATATATTGCGAAATAGGATAATCAGTACTACAAGCGAATCCAAATCGAGTAGGGGGTTTGCGGTCCCGAGTGGGATACCAAGACTAAGGAACAGGGTAAGGGAAATGTAAATGAGAGAGAGGAGATGTACCTGAACCTGTATCTAAGGAGGATAAAGGCAGTGGAGGCGGAGCACGAGGGCGGCGAGAATAGACTTGCAAAGGGGGTGAGGAAACCACATGTACTTCCAAACACCCGAGGCGTGATGGAAAAGAGTAATATAAGGCTGAAGCACTTGAAAGGGGGCCTTACCATTAATACTTTACTAGGGGTACAATTAATGAGAAAAGTAGTTGTAAGAACCACGCCAGTATAACTTTGGCACATTCATACCACTTAAAAGACATCGAACAACTGACATTAGTTGGCAGTTTTTACGCTCTGCCATACCATTCTGTGCAAGGGTATATGGACGAGTAAGTTGATGAAGAATACCCTGTTGGTTAAGTTGAGACCGAAACTCATTGCACGACCATTGTCAGACCTAATATTCCTAACAACAGTTTTATATTGAGTTTTGATCATTTGGAGGAATTGAGCGAACAAGGGAAAAACTTCGAATTTCTTTTTAAGTAAATATACCCATGTGCAGCGGGAATAATCATCAATGAATGTGACATAATAATGATGCCCCGAAAAAGCAGTAACAGGAGAAGGACCCCACACATCAGAATGTATGAGATCAAACATACTAGGTGCACGATGCATATGAGAAATATAACTTGTTCTAGTATGCTTAGAAAGCTCACAATTCTCACATTGAAACTTATTATCCTTACAAGCCGTTATTAATGAAGGGAAAAGCAGACATAAATACTGAAAGTTTACATGCCCAAGGCGAGCTTGCCATAAATTTAAAGTTTGAAAAGAAAAATCATAAGACCGAAAAACTGGAAGAACAGAGACTTGAAGGCTTGAAGTAAGTGGAGGAGGTGTCAGTGGACGATCCCTAAAGTAGTAGAGGTCATCGTGCTCATATCCCTTGCCAAAAATCCTCTTTGAACACTGGTCCTGTAAAACACAATAATGAGGAAAGAAAATCATTGCACAATTTAGTGATTTGGCAAGTTTGCTAACAGATAGAAGATTAAATGCAAAGTTAGGAACATGAAGAACATATGGCAAAATAATATCAAGGGATATATGAACATCTCTTTTACTACGAATAATGGTGGTTAACCCATCGGCTAGACTAACAGGGGTAACGAGAGTAGAAAATAGTGACAACTCACCAGTCATGTGATCATTGGCTTCGGAATCTAGAATCCAAGTAGGTTTTCCCGCTTTAACATGAAAAGCAAGAGGAGGACATGTAGTTATAGTAGCCCTGGGAATGGAAGAGCCAATAAAGCTCCGAACTGCTCCTGAGGCTGACCAATCTGGGAGTGTAACTGATTGAAGTCCTGAAAAGATGGTTTGGGAGGAGTTGAAGCAGGAGGGACAACAATCTATGGAGTAGTATACTTACCAATAGTATCGGCTACTGCAGCAGTGTGGCCACGACCAGAAGGACGATTACGAGAAAATTTCTGCTTTAGCTCGGGATGAAGCTTAAAACAACGATCCTTTACATAACCCGTGGCTCCACAATGTTGACAAATAACCTTTCCCTTTGAAAGTCTAGAATTAGCAGCAAGAACCATCTGATCAATTGGAGTCTCTGGTAAAGCTACTTGCTGAGAGATCTGACGTCTATGCTCCTTATGGTCAACAGTACAGGAGAGGAGTTTATGATCTGAGTTCTAAGAGCATCATACTCAGATCGTAAACCCATAAAAAACTAGTAGGTATGCTGGCGGTCCAGTGTCTTGACCAAAAGAGTTGCAGCTTCTTCAGAGAAATCGGGGAGAGGTTCATACTGTGCTAATTCTTTCCACCTAGACTGGAGGTACCCAAAATACTTTGATATTGACAGCTTGAGTGTCTCCTAGATGTATGAGCAATCTCCAGATAGAGTTGAAAGATACGAGCGTCATTGCGAGAATGGGCATACATCTTGTTAAGGGCTAGCGTAGGCGAAAAATGGAAGTGTGAAACATGAACATATTATAGATACGCTCCTCCATTGAGTTGAAGGTCTAATCTAGAATGGTGCACCTGTCCATGTCTCATGCAATATATTTAGTATCCGTCTTTTCCGGTTCCTTGACTAGACCCAAAAGCCAACCAGTTTTCCCTTTCCCTCCAATATAGAGTTGAAGAGAACGGGATCAAGATAAGAAGTTGCGCCCATTCAAGAGCATATTAGTAACCCGCTGTGCCGGAGTATGATGTGCCGAAGATAAAGTATACTGGACGGAGGATAAAGTATCCTTTTGGCTACTAGAATCAGTCATAGTACCAAAATAAGACTAGTCCACACGTCAAAGTAGGAGGAAAGGGGAAAAAATAAGGCCGGAAAAATTGGTGCTTTCCTCCATATATATTGCCGAACAAACACCGGCAGCCCACAAAGAAAAAAAAAACGCCAGAAGGACCCTTAGGTCATAAAAAACCTAAGGGAAATCTCCTAAAAAAGGAGTAAAAAACAGAGGGTTACCTGAGGGGTCCGGCGCAAGGGCTTGAAGGAGATAGAGGTGCGCTGGAGGTGATGGAAAATGGAGAGAGGGAGAGATAAGGTGGCGGCGTTGGGGAGGAAGATGGGGAGGCGAAGGTTTTTGTTTTGCTTTGATACCAAAAAAGAAGTTGTTTTGGGTTTTGGCTAATTCAAACTGAGAGCCAAGAACTATATTTATATACAAGAATATGGTACAAAGAAAGGAAACCAAATCAAAGAAAAATAAGAAATATGCCAAAATCTACGTGATCCCATAATTACGGGGATCTTATCCACCTGATCCCATGATTACGGGGATTTTACATAAAACACTTAATAAAAGGCTGAAAAGTAAAAATAGCTAATAAAAATAAAAATAATAATAATAATACAGATATTTCAGAACTTACATATCATATTCACATTAAGCAGTTCTTAATCAGCAAATACTGTATAATGCAATCCAACAATCTTTTGTTGATATAGAATATAACAATATGTAAGCACAACCCAACTCATCTCCGTCCAATTCCCTAACACATGTATGAAATCCAACAGGTTAATGCATCAAGCACTGAGGCATGCAAGTCTATATACTCGACACAGACTAGACACTAACCTGTACTGACATCAAGCATACTCTCTCTCTTTTTTTTTTTTTTGATAAGTAATAATTCATTGAACTGTCCGAGCTAAATAAACTGATCCCAATGCATAAAGCATACTCAGTTTCATGTCCGAGCTAAACCAATTACAGACTGAGCGATCCACACTAGTTAAATTCTAACTTAGGCAACCATCAGTGAGGTCGTCTCCACCTATCATCCCTATCTCTGACACGGGCCATGTTACTTGTACTCGGGTATGTTTGTCGAGTTCGTGTATGTGTCTGAGATTTAGGTATATAAAATTCCAAAATGAAAGGATACAAGGACACTACTAACTATTCATAATATTCTTTTATTTTGCGTAAAATAATATTTTTATGTGACATAGTGTTCAAAGTAGGCATTTTAACTCATTGTGAAGCGATAATATAATAAAATTGAACCATGGGACATACTTTTTAGATGCATAATGGCTTTTTAGGTGCGACACCAACACTTAATAATGGTCTTTTTGCGGGCTGATTTTTTACCTAGCAAGATTTGCTGTTTGCACTGGTATCAGTTTATTTTCCTGACAGGTTTTGTTTGCCAAACTTTTTCTTATTATCTGGATATTTTCTTTCATTTTTTATCCTTTCCTTTGTCATGCTAAATGATTTGAGAATATATAATGTCAACATAATTTACTGTCTGCAATGTTTTTGAAGAATGCCAATGTTTTGTTTGATCAGGAGGAAATTGAGATAGAGGCAAAGATTTTACGTGTTGGGAAGGCCATTGGAGTAGTCAGCGTTGAGTTGAGGAAGAAGAAGACGGGGAAAATTATTGCTCAGGGACGCCATACTAAATACCTTGCTGTCTCTAGCAGAATGTGAAGCGCCTGTTTATCTGTATATCATATGAAGGTGTTGCTTGGGAATTGCCTCACCCTTGTGTAATGTATCCGAACTTGGTGTATTTGCTAATAAATGTCCTTATGGTATGATTCATAGAAATCACCAATGCAACCATGTGAAGTCTTGATTATGGATTATGATAAGACACATACTTGTGGAATGTCTTACCTGACCTAAATAGCTTCTTCTGGCTTCATCAGTTTGAGCAGCGGCAAAAACACTTGAATTGCTGGGTTATTCCCCTCATATAGTGTTTTCTGTGGAAGAAAAAGCCATTTGATCAGATCTTTACTTGATTGAGATGATGGTGATGGGTGTTGAAATGAACATAATGTTGTAGTTATATTGCCAGTAAGTGGCTTTGCATTTGCAGGGTTAATTATGTGGAGTGATTTTGAGAATAGGTGCCTCGCCGCCCCTTTGGGTCTTTCCCGGCAAGACAGGTTTTCGTGTGGGTCATGGCATTGTCTCTCATGTTTACAGACACTGATTTCCTTCTAAAGCAGAAATACTTTGTGTGACATTCTGAAACTCCATATCCAGAAAACTAAGGAAAACATCTAACCACCCTATTATACACTAAACTGATCAAGAAACCATAAACTATCAACTAACGTAACAGATTAGTATGTATTCAAAGAAGATATGAATGGGACCGAATCAAATCAGTTTCAGTATTTCATACTAGGGTCTATACCATTTTTTAGGGGAACATGTTAAATCAAAAGGGTTTATAATCTAAAGTTTAAAGTTTAAACGTCCACGTTGTAAATGGTATTGATTGGCTCACACATGTATATTGTAGGTACAACTTTGTTTAATCCAAAAATGAGGACAACATTATGTAATGGGTGAACATGCTAAAACAAATATGCTTTTTGTGCTATGTTTGCCATATATGCAAAATGTACCACTACATATAAGCAAATGAAAGGAGGATCAAAGCTAAGTTTTTCAATCAAATAACAAGCTCAAATCAACTCACTCTACAAAGATGGTTCAATAATCACCCTTGGTTAGAGCTAAACTGAATCAAAAGTATACTAGTTGCATGAACAAAAAGATGATATAGGCAAGTAACTGGTTAATGGAAATGATACTCCTCAGTTATTTAGCTATTTGCATGTACATTACTGGTGCCAAAATAAAGTAGCAACTAAATTAAATTATCACTGAAGCTTAAAAAAGCTCTTATCTGTGTTCGAACAAGTTGAGATTCTAAAAAACAGAGAGATTCAATCTGGCGATATTGAAATGTAATATATGGTGCACTTTAACACAATATATAATATAAAGGGTAAAGTATAGAGACACCCTTGAGGTTTGTAAAAGGACAGCCAGAGGAAAGTTTGTCTATTTTGGGACAATCACACTCCCTTGTAAAATTTACCATCCAAGCAGAGCCTTAAAACATGTAAAAAGTCCATTTTACCCCTTCACTATTTTATTAAGGGATTTTTACATATAAATGGAGTTAGGGCCCCATATTGACACATTGACGGAGTCAAAGTCTTGTATTTTCACAAAAATGAGTTTGACCTAAATGATGACATGGCACATGAAGTTTTACTGTTTAAAATTTTTGTTGCCTAAAATGCTCTTCTCCCTATTCCAATGCATTTACCTTATTACCCTTATTATTTCCTCATCTAATTTAAGCCATTGGAGCCCTAATCATTCAGAATCCTTATTCGTGCACCCTCTCTGGTTGTTTGGGGCTTTCCGGGAAAACAGCCATTGACGGCGAGCTAGAGCACCGAAGTTTTCAATCTTCAATCTAGTGGACAGCAGCAAGACGGAGGAAGGTCCAGTCATGGAGAATGGAACTTGAAACAGCACAATCCTTCAACAAGCCCATTTTAAGGGTCGAAGAGATGGTAAATTTGGGTTTCTCTCTTCTGTTTTCTGGCATGTGTAATGAGATTAGGGAACACAAGATTTATGCATGATTTTGTGTATTTGGTGCTTGTTTCTTGTTACAGATTCAATTTTTGTTGTTAAATGTGAATGAAAGTGGGTTGGTCTTTATTGATCATGGTTGATTTTTGGAGTTTTTGAGTGTTAGGGTTTTTGGTTGCATACCTTATGAGTCCTGCCTCGTTTTTTTTTTTTTTTCTTATTTTTATTTGGTGCCGTTAGTTTCATTTATTTTTCTCTCCATTTTTTACTTCTCTCTTCATATATTTGAGCACCAAAAGTACAACCATTATCACTTTCTTGACTGTGAATGCTACAAGATTGGCACATGTTTATAAAATTGGCATGTTCTTAAATGTATTTATCTATTTGGATGTGAAAAATTACATGTATATTGTACAGACTTTATTTTTTTGCATACTTATTTTCCGAAAAAAATAAAAACAAAAATTACATGTATATATGGAGTATCCTAGTATGGTTATCTCGAAGTCTTAATAGAATAAGATGAGGTTTCTGTAATGATTGAATGGCTAACTTTAGGTGTCTGGAAAATTACATCTCCTGTATCTTCTTTCTTAGGAGCTATAGCTTCCACAGTTGGTTCATGTATTGGGCGAATTGAATATTTATATCCTGCAACAAGGAAACAAAAAACTCAATAGCCCCAATATAAAGCAAAATTCATGTTATTCTTTCCCAACTAGAATTAAAAGCTAATTTGAAAAATATTAATGGCATAATACCAAATACAATTATCAAAACCACAAAACAACATATCTATTACCAAATCACAAAAACGCATTTGGAATTAGAGTGAGTAATGTAGAGAAAATATAGAAATGAAATATATATATATATATATATATATATATATGACACAATTGTAACCTAAAATGAAAATTATAGGTGTAGTATATATGTGTGTGTGTATATTACCTGTTTGGAAATTGGGATTATATGAAAGGGTTCTATGAAGAAGAGGGTGTGAAGAAGAGGCATGGTGTCTAGTTTTGAGATAGCGAGGGATAGAGAGAAGAATTGGGTTTGCTTGTCTTCCACCTCTAAAATCAAACTTCCACTTCCATTTTGCAAATAGAAGACCCTTTAACATAAATGAAAGATCCACCTTTCTGATTTTGAAAGGATGTTCCACAGTGACAGGCTGGTTTTGTGCAGCAATGATTTTGAAAGGATGTTCTACAGTGACAGGCTGGTTTTCCAAAGGCCATTTGTTGGTAGGAATCAGTGATTTTATTATTATTATTTTTTGAAGTTGTCTTTTATTTTTTAATATCAAATATATATATCTGGTACAAATCTGTAATTCTTTCATAGTTGTATTAATTGGGCAATTTTTTTTTTTTTTTTCGTGTTACATGATAGTGCTGTCTTTTTGTATCTGATGTAGTAATAGATTGCATTTTTTAAGAGCTCCAATGGAAATATTCAACCTCTTAAGTAAAATCAGAATTCTTATGTAATTGTTCAGAATGTTTTAAACAGCAGTACTGCTAAGTTGGATAATGAGGTCACCTGCAAGGTGTTGGGTAAATTATAAATTCTTTTATAATTTTGATGATTCTTTTTAAAATTATTATTATTCAAAGTTTCGAATTATCTGTTTTTATATTGCTTTTGTTCCTTATTATTATTATACAATGCCTTAATACCTTAATTTTTGTTGCATGTGACAGTCACAGAGATAAAGTGATTTTTTTTGTTCCAACTACACACAGAAACAGAGAGAATGTATGTCCATCAAATACACAAACAAGAGGACTCTCACTAGGGCCACAAATTGGTTTACCATGGAACAAGAAAATACATACTTGTATTTGTCCAATTTGGGAGCTAGAGGAAGTGGGATAGGAGGATCTCATAATCCAAAATGTACTTGAAATGATGTGGGATATGGGACATTTGTAATGTTGAACAATGTCTTTTTTTTTTGCTGGTATTTTGCAATCTGTTGGTGCTAGCTATTTTTTAACTTTTAAAGAAGAATAATAGCTTTGCAACTTTTGATTGTGGATTAGGTTGGTATGTTTTTGCAACCATTGTATTTACTTATTATACTGGCATCTACCTTAGATGAAATGAAATGAAGTTACTCTTTTACATTGGGTTTTTATGAATTAGTATTGTATGGCTTATTATACTAGGGCTTCACTGAATTTTCTTCGACTATTACATGAATGTACTATAAAAAAAAATTTCATTCCAAACTTGAAGTAGTTGAATGAATGAAAATTGGCCTATTGTTTCCTTGGTTCCATGGTGTCAAATAAAAGGATAATTTAATCTCAATAGTTTTCAAAGAGATACCACATTCTCTCAAAGGCTAATTAAGTTGCACATTACATACATAAACAGCTCCATTAGCACCATGAATAACACAAAATGTTCTCCAAGCTAGCTAAGCGAGTGTTTAGAAAATATGGTACCTGGATGCCAAAAAGTGGTACCTTCAGTTCAAAAACGTGATACCTTTGGAAACAAAGTGGTACCTTCGCAAAAGAGACTTATTTTTGCAATTGAAATGGTATTACACCCCACACCGCTAATTAAGTTACATATTACATCCATAAATAGCTCCATTAGCGCCATAAATAACACAAAATATTCTCCAAGCTAACTAAACGAGTGTTTAGAAAACATGGTACCTGGATACCAAAAAGTGGTACCTTCACTTCAAAAACGTGGTACCTTTGGAAAAAAAAGTGGTACCTTCGTAAAAGGGACTTATTTTTGTAATTGAAAATGGTATTACACCCCACACCGCTAATTAAGTTGTACATTACTCCATAAACAGCTCCATTAGCGCCATGAATAACACAAAATATTCTCCAAGCTAGCTAAGCGACTGTTTAGAAAACATGGTATCTGGATGCCAAAAAGTGGTACATTTGGAAAAAAAAAAGTGGTATCTTTGCAAAAGAGACTTATTTTTGCAATTGAAAATGGTATTACATCCCACACCGCTAATTAAATTGCACATTACATCCATAAACAGCTCAATTAGTACCATGAATAACACAAAATATTCTCCAAGCTAGCTAAGCGAGTGTTTAGAAAACATGGTACCTGGATGCCAAAAAGTGGTACCTTTAGTTAAAAAACGTGGTACCTTTGGAAAAAAAAGTGGTATTTTCGTAAAAGGAACTTATTTTTGCAATTGAAAATGGTATTACACCCCACACCGTTAATTGAGTTACACATTACATCCATAAACAGCTCTATTAGCGCCATGAATAACACAAAATATTCTCCAAGCTAACTAAGCGAGTGTTTAGAAACATGGTACTTAGATGCCAAAAAGTGATACCTTCGGTTAAAAAACGTAGTACTTTTGGAAAAAAAGTG